CCTGGCTGTCGGCGCGGAGCCAGCGCGCCTCCCCGGCCTCAACATTGAGCCTGCATTTATCTCAGGGCACTGTGGCCTCGCAGCGGGTGTCCGTGAACAGGCTGGTGGGCGCTATCGGGCGGCCCAGCCCGCGGGTCGCCCAGGGTTTGGTCGATACATTAGGGTCACGCCAGGGCGAGGAGGAGGGGGAGGAGGTGGTGGGGCCGCTGGAGATCCATCTGGACCGGACTCGGTACCCCCTCCATGCCCGCCTGGGGGAGGCGCTGCGTCGACCTTTGGTGTCGCCATCACACGTGTTATCCCCTTTTAATCACCAGGCAATCGCTGACCACAATGGGAACGGGTGCTGTGAGCTTTATGAGATCGAGGTGACGAATATTATGCCCTACACTTCTCCCTCGGCGGTGTTGGAGGAGCTGACCCAAATATTGGAACGCATGGGGGTGGAGTGGCGGCCAGGGATTCAAAGTAAGTTAGATCAATACTATACACTCCTGTCAACCACAGGCGCCCTTTCAAATTCTTCACAGGAATAATTTAAATTGATAGATCATGAGAATGCTGACTTGAAAAGATCGCCTTGGATAGATTTGTTTTAATATCATATGAACTACGGAAGGCGCCATCATTTCTCATCCCAGCAAACTTAAGATCTTTGATATGGCAGAAATGAGTACATATTTATGCTCGTATTTTTATAGATGTGTTGCTTGCATTCAAAAAGAAGGCTTTGTTTTCTGTGTTTCTTCATTTTATCGTCTCATTATCGATCATGAATAAATAATAAAATTGAATGGGCAGGTTATGCAATAATGAGCATACCTTAGATCTCACTCAACTCATATTCTCCTTATAGAGTTTCTCTTTGTTTATGCATAAGTCTAACCGTTGACAAAAAATGAGCTTTTTTTTTTCACGGATGATATGTTTTTTTTTTCGTCATAATATTTCAATGTGCTTTCTTTATCTCAATTTCTTTTTCTTTTCATTAAAAACAGAAAATTTTATACACTTTTCATTTTCTTGAGCACTTATTTAAACAACCTTATTATATATTTATTATTTTTCTTGTCAATAGATGGCGGGTATAACAAAAGCTGTTCTGTCGAAGCATCCAAGCAAGAGTGTTGCTAGTCGACGCATTCACAAAGAGGGCCGTATCACTGCTAAAAAAGAGTCTAAGAGTATCACATCCGGCACGAAGCGACAGCATCGCTGGAGACCGGGGACTGTTGCTCTTCGCGAAGTCCGTCGCTATCAAGCTTCTACGGACTTTCTTATTTCTCGTGCCCCTTTTCGTCGCCTCGTGCGTGAGATCGTTGCTAATTTAAAAGATTCCGTCCGTATGCGCAGTTCGGCGTTGGAGGCTGTGCAAGAGGCCACTGAAAGCTATATTGTGAATCTGCTAAATGACGCCAACCTGTGTACTATTCATGCAAAGCGCGTCACTCTGTTTCCAAAGGATCTTCAGCTAGCTTTGCGGCTACGTGGTGACCGTGCTTGAAGATTTAAGCATGGGTTTTTTTTTTTCCACATACTTTAGCAGTGTCATTTTTTTCCTTGTTTATGTGTTATGCTTGCTGTCAACAAGAACTGCTTAAAGAATAGATAGGTAAGGCTTCATTTGATTTTTTTTGAATATTTATATTTTAATACTGTATGGAATGCAGATGCTGATTAATATGCAAACAATTTAGCAATAGATAGGGTGCATTTGCTATGTGTTCTTTGAAACGAGTACCTTAGAGCGATAAAAGAAAGGGCAAAGATATATAATTAGTTTTATTTACACTCAAAACACACACGCACATCTTATGAGCATATATATCTCCTGAGATGCGGTTTAAGGTGTACAGGGTATCCTCCACAAGAACCATGATCATCAGATCACATTGATTAAGAATTTTGTACGAAAGCCTACGGGCTCATTCTTTTATTCACATTCAGTTAAAGAATGGTTCTATTTATGTATAGAGGATTTTAATTATGTGTGTTTTTTTTCTTTCCAGAAACCTTTTATTTATGTTTATCTAAAATCACATATATACCCTTCACTGACACTTTTTCCCCCATTAATAAATCTATAGATAAAATAGTTTTCATTATATTTGAACTTCTTAAGCATCTTCGTTTGCATACAGAAGTGCGGACCAACTTTACTCACAAAAAGGAATCTAATTGAAAGGATTAGTTTGATTTGTTCTTCCATTCGATCTTCCTTCTTCTCTTTCGCCTAGACGCATACCTCCGTTCTGTGTGCTTTAAGACTATTCCTTTGGTCTTATGTGACATTGGACTTTTTTTTTAGCTCTATTCTTTTCCTTTGCTTTTGAGTTAAAGGGTAACGAGGGAGAAAAAGGAGAGATGTCTCACAATTGGCATACTATGTGTTTTTTTCACAACACCATCCTTTTTTTTATCGTAGTATCACTTGGGTTTTGCACTACCAATGCCGCACCATCGCAACCATTGACAGATAGGCCCACTGGTATTCAAGCGCCGGGCCAATCTCTTCGTTGGGCTATCCTCTTGGATCTAACCCGCACTACTCTAACTGTGGAGTCAATTTCTAGAGGTGTTGAAAAATATGCATCCGAACTGGCGAGTACTCCGGGGTACATCCTTTTTGATGAAAAACCCACTGTTATCAACAGCGATGGGAGTTTCGCTACCGCGCTTTCTAAAGTTTCCGAGTTGATTTCCGACGAAAACAAATTACCAGATGTTCTTTTTCTTGCGGAGACTACTGAAGTATCCATCCTGACGATGGATATCCTGCGGTCTAGTGAGGCGAAGGATAAGATTTTAGTTATTTCGATTGGTGCTTCCAACGAAATTCTTTGTAATTCAATTCTAAATCCGCGACTGGTGTGCATCGTACCACCAGATTTAACTAACTTCCGGGGTGTCCTGGAGGTAGCCTCAGCCTCGCTGAGGTGGGAGTCAATGGCGGTAATCTTCAGCAGCTCCAAATACGCCGTAAACTTTCAAAAAGTCGCTTCAACCCAATTGCAGGGAGTGAGCTATGTTCCAACCATAGTTGGGCAGGGGTTCTTGGACTCTGTTGCCTCACAAGAAGAGTACGACGCACTGCTAGCAAAGTTAATCAAACACAGCCCTAAGGGTATTGCATGCTTTGTGGATGAAAAACAATTGAATCATCTGCATGAGGCAGTACAGCGTGCGAATCGGGATATCTTTTTATTGGGCAACCGAGCGGCCCTTGGCGTTTTGAATCAGCTGAATGGCAATGATCAACCACACGACAAACCATACAGCGGACTCTTCGTTTCGATCTACACAACGGTGGATAAATTCGTTACCATGGGTTATTTCACGAAGGATGAGGTGGATGAGTACGGTGCCTACACGATGAGTCACCTTTTTGATGGGATACGTCTGATCGCGGAGGCGAAAGGGGTGAATCGGATGCATATTCTTCGCGCGGTTCGTTTTCACGGCTTCACAGGCGCAGTCAGCTTCGCCCCCCTTCGCAACGAGCGCGTCGACACCGGCTTTGCACTAATACTCCATCACTATCGAATGCCAAACCCTCTGGTCAGGTGGGAATCGGGAAACGACATGACGAAGTCGGTTATTCACAACCCCAACGCCACCCTCACAGCTGCCCTTATTCCCCCCTCGCCTTTACGCTCCGCGGTGGTTTGCCTGGCCGTTTCCCCGACCTGCGCCGACGCCGAATTGACCTCGGCGATGTTGTTTATGCTGCTTTTTCGGAATAAAGAAAACGTCCTGAACGGTGCGGCTGTGATGTTTCTACCGCACGTCTTCAACACAGGCCTTGACGGGATGGCGGGGTTGTCAAGCCTTTCGACGACTGGGATCGGTCGCGCCTGTACGGTGTTGATAGGCCCTGGACGGCTTACCATCCTGACCGCCCTCACGCCGATGCTCAACAGCTACCAAATCCCACAGTTAGATTACGCCGTCAGCGATGATTTTCTAACCTTGGCGAACTATACCTATCCGTTTTTTTCCCGTACAACACCCCCTAATGCGTTTAACTACTTTGCTTATTCCAGTACGTGCCGATATTTTTCCTGGGAGCGTGTGATCGTCTTGTCGACTGTGGATGATATTGGCACTTTTCGAGCAAAGTCAATGATGCATTCAATGGAAAGTCAAAACATATACGTAGAAAAGACATTTTTTTTACAGAACAACAGCAAAGCCTCTCTGGTTGGGGCTCTGAACGAGATCTATGAGAAGTATATCAGTCGCATTATATTAGTTATGCTTTCCCTATTTGGTGAAGATGCTAAGATGTTTTTTAACCTCATTGATGAGTTACCCTTTATGAATAAGTATGTTTTTTTTCTTAGCACTGATCTGTGTCTTCATGGTGCTGCATATCCTGAGCAACGCAATAAGCTTCAAAGCTCAATTTGTTTGTTTCCCTACGTGCCGACAGATCATCTCGAAGATCTCAACCTAAAGGCCGAAGCGAATCCGGATATTTTTCAAGACGTCAAAAGTATCTTACGGGGCGCGAATTTGATAGTGCAGGCGGAAACTTGTTCCATGAAGGATATTCCATCCTTCACCGGATTCGCAGTTGACGCTGCCTACGTTCTCATCGACGTCATCGAGCGGGCTTTAGCGGCAGAGGTCTCAATCAAAACAGGGAACCATCTCCTCCCACTGATCCGCAAAACCTCCATTAACAAGTTCACAGAGGGTTGTACAATTAATGACAAGGGCGATCGAAACTTTTCGGTGTACGAGGTCAACATTCAAATCCCTGGTTCCATTCTTGGCATCGGTGTATGGGATACAAGGAACAAGCAACCTTTTACGCGAATGGATTCGTCAAACTTCATTTGGATGACCAACAGCACATCCATTCCACTTGACACTTTTCGAGACTACTCGTTCATCTTGGACAACACCATACCCGCTTCGTATGGTACGATTTTGCTCTGCGTATTAGGGTTTTTGTTTACTTTTGGGTTGTTGTTTTTTAGTTATCAGCACTATCGTGTACAAACACAGATCGAGATGGCCTTGTTAAGTAACAATGTGCCTATCACCGAGGAGGAACTACGACGATTGAAAGGAATTCAGGAAGACATTTAATTTGTGAAGAGAATTGGTCACGAAAAGTCATTTTATCGCAAGCTAGTGTGAGGAATTTTCCAACAGCAAGCTTTCCTTTTGATCTCATTCTACAAGCTCGAAACAACAACAACAACAACGTATATACATTTTTAATCAGTTTTCTATTCTTTGCTTTATTTTGTTTGGCCAATCGTAAAAGGTCAATACGCGTAATACCAACCTTTAATTTCTCATCCACCCATAAAAATGAGTATTCTGTATGCACACATGTCCAAGATTATTCTGGAGACTTTTTGCTTTTGATTTTTCTTAAACATTGTGTCAAAAAGACTGATCCATATACACCGTCAAACAGTTAATCACGGAAAAAAGGATCTCAAGTATTCAGTAGATATCTACTTATTGATTGAGGGCAACATTTCGGTGAATTTAATCATTTTTTTAATCTAAAAAAAAAAAAACGAAGCTCCGCACAATGTCCAGCCCAACGTTGTATACAGCTCACGATGGCTTTCCTGCTTATGTCTCCGCAAGTCGTCTTCGTGCATTCACCCATCCCGACTTCCCGCGGCATCTATTCGGCAGCAGTTCGAACGACAGCGACGGCAACCACCTTCTCGACGTCCCTGTCGGGGATGGCGAGGTGGGGCACTGGGCAAAAGTCCTGCAGGAGGTGGCACCCCCGTCATCCACGATATCCTTTCCCGCAGAGCTGGACCCCCAGCGCGGGACGGAGGGCGATCACGCGGCGGCTTGCTCGACCTTCCAAACCGCCCTGGGGGTTTTCGGGCTTCCCTCCGAGGACGCACGACGTGGGGCGATTCACAAACTCGCGCCTTTTCCCGCGTTTAGACCGCAGGCCGTCGCGTCGCTCGCGATGACGGCCGTTCTTAAAATTCGACGGCAGTGGTTGCCCTACCGTCAGCAATTTCCCGTCTATCAACAATGCATGCAGCTCTTGGATGCCGTCTTAGCCCATGACGTGGTGGTGGTGGTGGGGGGTCCCGGCAGCGGGCGGACCCTGCAGCTGCCGATGATTCTTTCCGAAAAGGAGGTTTTTAAGCGTCGTCGGGTGGTGGTGGTGAGCGCGAACGCGATGGGGGCCCGGCTCACCGTCGCGCGACTTCGCGAGGAGCGGGGAGAGGCGGGGGATACCCGGACGGTGGCGTCCGTCCTTCCTGGGCACCCCCCCGAGGCGACGGAGGGCACGCTTCTTCTGGTCACCACCGCCGATGTGCTTTTACGCCAACTTCTTTGCGATCCGACTTTGATGGACGTCGCCGTGGTTGTTTTCGACGATATGCACCTTCGTACGGAGGCCACGGAGCTGTGTTGTGCGTTGCTGCGCGAACGCGCCTCGCAGCTCGCCATCGCGGAAGGGAACGCTGCCGGAGGTGGGAGGGGGTTGAGGAGGCTGCACGTCGTGCTGAACTGCCCCGATGAGGCCTGCTCGACCGCTCTTGTCCCGTTTTTCACCTCATCGCCGACGTGCCGCGTAACGACGTTTCTTCTTGCGTCGTCGTCCGCTTCTCCTTCGAATTCCGCCCCGCCAGTTTTTTACCTGGAGGAAACGATTCAATGGCTGCACAAGTGCCGTACCGAGGGCAGTCTTCTCTGCCGAAACCCGGAGTTAGAGTTGGCCCCTTATGTCGAAAAAGTAGACGTGGTTACGGAAGTCATGGCCGCCACGGATTCAGATTTTGTAAATGAAACGAAGTGTCGTAGCTACTGGTGCCATATCATCACGCAGGCCATTTGGCATTACAATCTCGCGGAAACCCAACTACAGGCAGGTGATCGGAGGGGCCTCTTGGCGGAGACTGCCCCTCAGGCCCACGATTTGAGTCTTATTGTGGTTTTAACTCCTAGCTTACACTGGGCACGAATAATTTTAGAGGAGGTTCGTTACCAGCTTCACCATTTGTGTACGGCGGAATCCCCCGAAAGGACGTCGAGGCCGTCGGTCGATCGGTTCGAGTTCCACATCTTGACGGAGTTCGTGACGCCATTTGAGGACTTTCTGAGCGTCGCGCGAGGGCAGCGCCCTGCTTCAAGTAGGCCATCAAACGGGGATTCATTACCGACGCGAGCCGTGCTCTTCATGACGCCAGAGCTCGCGCAAACGACGCTGCCACCGGTGTTGAATATTGGCCTTTTGGTAGATTGCGCGCGGGTCAGCACCCAATCTTTTGACATCGCTCTGATGTGCGACTGTTGGAGCACGGAGTACGCGAACTCGTCAAACCTGCGTTATCGCCGAGGTGTGGTCAAGAAAAAACTGGCCTCTGACAGCGCCGATGAAGTGGCTCCGAACTGTATGATTATTCAACTGATTCCAAAGATGGTTTTGCATAGCGCACAGCATCGCCGACAGAGCGCGGATCCAGGCCAGCATGCCGTCTTTCATCTATCCTTCCAAAAGTATCTCAGTCTCTATCAGGTATTGCAGGCTCGAGAAGAGGCAATATCCTACAGTAAGACCTTTTCTGGTCAACAGGCTACGCCGTTATCCTCGAACCGAGGTGTTTCTCAGCAAGCCACGATAACCGCTAAGGTCGTTCCACTCATATCCACGCACTTTATTGGGGTTCCCGCGGCCTTGGCAAATCGCTACGAACAACTACGTCGCGTTTTTTCAGTTGTTGAGAGCTATTTAGTCGCGGCTGGGCATCTCCAACTGTCAGGGGGATCCGGTTTGGAGGCCAAGCATGACAATGAAGAGCCTGAAACCCGATCCGACTTGTTGCCGACCGCTAAGCTGAGACCGATGGGAATTCTGGACATATCTATGCTTTTACCCACTCCTATTACACGGCTTTTGGTATTCGGCTCGATGTTTGGATGCTTTGTAGAGGCGACTGCCGCTGCAGCGGTGTGGTTAGTAGGAGACGTGTACCAAGCCGCCGCGGAAAATCTTATATCTACTATAGAGTGTTTACCCGAGAACAAAGAGCAAAGACTGGATGATGAGGCGGAGTGTCGTACACTACTCAGAGAGGCCAGGAGATTTTTTTCGTGGAACACGTTAAATGACATGGTAGGTAATTTTAACATCTATAAGATGTGGCTAAGTTTACGTTGCGACAAAACCGATAGCATCAGTGAAAAGGAGGAAGCCTTTTTGAACGAATGCAAAGTTCCGAAGTCTTTTCTATTAAAAATCCTGAGTATGCAAGCCAATCTACATGAACTGTTTGATGGTCTTTTCTGGAAGACCAATAGAGTATCCCCAGCGGATAAAGCCGAGCAGATCGCACTCGTGCTAGCTCAATTTCCCGATGAAGTCATCATGAGCGGCCATTTTCATGTCTGCCTCACTGCCGCCCTTTACCCCAACTGCGCCCGAATGCGGCGGTACATCCTTGGTGCCCAAGACGGATCCCAGGGTCTTTTTGGCGTCTTGCTCGATTCCCCTCATCCTCCATCCCCATCCGTGGGGGCCTCGGCGATCCCGTTTCTGCGGCGCCTTGGCATCTTTGCTGATTCCAGCCTTCTTTCCACCCAGTGGGCGCAGGAGGCGGAGCAGGAGGCCGCGGCCCCCTCCGACCGCCCCGGCAGCGAAGCCGTCCTCATTCGGGCGGTGGATCGGACCTTCCTTTACTTGTCCAAGACCATCATCGAGCCCGGCTCGGCCTCCCCGATGGCGGTGTTAGAGCAGGCCGTGCCGATGTTGGAGGACGCGGTGGTGCTGGTTGGTGGGGAGACCCAGGAGCGGCCGCAGGCGGCCCCGTCCCGTTGCCGCGGCTGGAGCGTCGCCCTGACAGGGGCCTGGCGGGCCACCAAACGCGCCCGCCCCCTGCCCCCTCCCGCCCAACTTCCCCCGCTTTTCATTCCTGTTCAGGCCTATGACCCTTTTTCCGCCCCGACGGTCCTCCTCCGGGCTGATTCCACGCATCGCGTGCTCTTGCACACCACCACCGCGCGGTGGCTTCAGGGGCTGCGGGGGCACCTTCAGCAGCACTTGGGGGGGCTGGCGGTCTGGAAGGGCTGGACGGCGGACCGGGCCTCCGCCTCCGCCGCGGCGGTGGCTTCGGCCTGGGGGTGGTGGCAACAACGGCAGAAAAACGGCCCTCAGTGGCTGCACGGCGAACGACAGGCGCGGCGATCCGCGGCGAATGGGACCGCCGACCACCCCCTCCGCAACGAGGACGAGGGCCGGGGGCAACTGCCGAGGCTTTTGGGCTTTTACGCCTTCTCTACGCGCCCGGGCGTGCCGGAAACGGTCGTGCCGCCCGCTCTGGCGGCCACCAAACAAAAAAAGTTAGCGACGTCCTTCAATTCTGCCCCCGAAGAGGCATCGGTTGCGTCATACACCGGTAAGTTCCCGAGCCCAGACGTGGATCAGATTGTTCGAATGTGTGTGAAGAGCGTGGCCACCAAACGAACCCGCGAGCACGAGGCGCAGCTCCTTCGTGATAACCCGGACCTCTTTATCTTTCTGGACCCGGAGAACGAATTCCATGAGTACTATCTCTACCTTCTTCGACAGGCCGTACCTGACATGGAGGTCCTTGGCGATGACTTGGAGGAGCTAGTGGAGTACCTGACGTCCTTGGAGCGCGAGCTTCGGGAGGAACTTGGGCTGCCTCCAGAGAATCCTTCGAGGGTCTACAACGTGGGGGGAAATTCAAAAGACAAGGGAGCCAATGAGGAGAACGGTGATGCGGCGAAATATGTAGCTACCTCGCATCCACAAGAGCAGGAGGTGCTACTGCATGAGATTCCCGGGACGGAGGGCGAGGAGGAGGCCTACGCCAATGCGTTCACGGGACTGCAGGTTGAGACGGCGGCGGTGAGTCTGCGCAAGCCTGCGGTCCCCACTCTGAGTAGTCGGGTGAAGGCAAGCAGTGGTACCAGTGCGCGGATCATCCCCGATGACCCAACGATGGCCGACCCTTTGAATGAAGCAAAGGTCACTCAGGATGCGATGCTAACGACGACGACCACCACCACCGCCACTAGCACTACAGCCACCCCAGGGACGCTGCTGGAGAAGCTCATGGCGATGAAAACAAGCAGTACTACAAAGGGAGCGGACAGCAATTTAGCGGTAGCCCCAGGTGATTTGCTTCGGCCGGGATCGACTAGTGTTCCCACAAACGCACCGGAGTCCGCCCCCGGTTCCCACAATGCCGGTGGGGCAGTCGTCGACGCGCCACCCACCACGGCAGAGCTTATGGAACTCTTGACCGGTGCTGGGATTGGTGGAGCCGTTCTGGACGACTATCTCAGTCCAGGCAACGGTATGATGCCTTCCTCCGTTATGGTGAACCCGCTCAAAAAGCCGCCCCCACCCCTACCGGTGAAGGTGGTGAATGAACGAAAGCCGAGTGTCTTGGTCTACCCGCTGCCGGACCGCCGCTACGGCAATGTTCCCCTCATGCTTGCCAAGGCCCTCGGTGAGACGATGAACATCCGCGTGGGGCCCACGACTATCGTGGGTACCATCGGGCGGATTAATGTCCCTAACAAAAAGGTTGAGACACGCGCCATATCGCTTAGGAAATTCATGTGCGTTGGAAAAAAGGTATATATCTTTAAGAATGATCGCATTATCGACAATTCCGACTCAACTGTTTATGAACGTCAGCCGACCCGTGGGGGTCGGGGTAGTGGTAATGGACGAGGTGCCTCTAGAGGTGGTTGGCAATCCAACAGACAATTCAACCCCGACGACGGTGAGGATGTTGATGAGCTGCAAATGCAGGGGCATGAGGATCAAGGTCAAGAATACAACTACAACACGAGTGATTTTGTTGGTGGTACCGATGCGGAACTCGATCCGACCATGGCAGGGGATGACTATCTAAGCTTTTTCCAGGATATGCCGCAGCGCCAGGAATTGAATCATCCTGCAGAGCCTAGCGAGACTGACGACGCTGAGGCAAGTCCGCGCATGCCTGCTGTTCGTATTGGCGTGTTTTCAGATTCTGATGAAGAGGAAACGGACGAAAGCGATACATCGACTAATTCTTCTGACAGTGATAGCGGCACGGAATAGAAGAAAAGCGTATCTGAAAAGGGTAAGGGGGTTCGATTAAATGAATTTAAACCAGAGAAAAGAGGCAAACTCGCCATACTTTATATAATTTATTCCTTTATGATGACATAATCCAAGGGAGATGCACGATAAGGGGAAACCGTTAACAAATTATTTACTATTCCCCATATCTTAAGTCTTTGCCTTCTGGGATTAGCAGCAAATAGCATTGTAATGCCATTCACTTTAAGCTTTCCTTCCGATTTATTATTGCCTTTTATTTCCTTTTCATCTCTACAAGTTTAGTGAGGACTCCATAGGATAATTTATTGTAGGGCTTCTCGGAATTGTCATCACGTGTGTTCTTTGTTGTCACTGTTAATTGATTCAATAGGAATCTAAAACCAAGAAAAGACAACAAACTGAAGTGGAGAAGCTCTGGTAGTATAAACGTGTGTCCTTCAGCTAGAAGACATCTTTTTTTTTTCATCGCGGATACGTGCAGGAAAGAGGCAGAGGAAAATAATCCGAGATGAGTATGAATAAAAGTTCTAGTTATATGGAAATCACCCTCAACCGGGTCGATAATACGGAGACCGTTAGCTCCCCACACAGCTATGCCTACGGTGGTGGGAACAGCGGTGCGGCGACGGGTCAAAGCGGCGGCCCTGCCACAGCCCTGCCCGACCACCCCACGATTTCGAATCTTTCCATCACCTCGGCCATGGTGGGTCTTCCCATCACCTTCTTTGAGAATGGAAAGCGGAAGAAGCAGTCTCTCACCACCCCTCCTCTCTCGTCCGAGCTGTCGAGGGTGAAATCCGAAGACGAGGAGGGAAAGGGCGGGGGGATCGGGGGCTCCTCCCCCTCCGAGGGCCTGACGCCGGAGGGGTTCCCCTGCACAACGCGTCGCGTGGAGCTGCTCTCCTTTGACCTGGACAACGTCTCCCCGCCGATTGCGAATCTCTTTCGCCGGGTGATCACGACGGAGGTCCCGACCATGGCGTTTGATCGGGTTCTCCTCTACGAGAACGACGGGGTGGTGTTGGATGAGCTGCTCTCGCACCGGCTGGGGCTCGTGCCCGTCGCCGGGCCGGTTTCCCGCATGGAGTACATCACAGAGCCCGGACAGGCCAGTTTTCAGTCCCTGGACCCGAAACGGGTGCTGATGTTTGAGTTGGAGGCGGAGGGCGCGAAGAACGTCGCGGTGACTTCCGTGTACAGTCGGCAGCTGAGTTGGGTCCCCTTGCCTGGGCAGGAAGAGTTTCACTCGGGGCCCAGTTCCCCATCGGACCCCGAACACAACGAGGCGGATTCGGTTTTTGTGGTCCACCCGGACATTTTATTAACAAAGCTGGGCCCAGGGCAGCGGGTGAAGCTCCGCGCCATGGCGGTAAAAGGGATCGGCGCGGTCCACACCAAGTGGAGCCCGGTGTCGGCGTGTTATTACGAAATGAAGACCCACATCGAGCTGACGGAACCTGTGCTCGGTGAGGCCGCCGAACAGCTTGTTAAAATGAGCCCTAAGGGCGTATTTGGGTTGGTGAAGGTACCCAATGAAAATGAGGAGGAGGAGGAGGAGACCGAATCAAAGGTAGGCCGTTCCAAGGATCCCGAGAGTTTATCAAAGAAATCGACAACCGTTTCCGCGGTGGTGTTGGACCCAAGCAAGTGTACCATCAGCCGGGAATGTTTGCGCACAGACCAATATCCAGAACTTGAGAATAAGGTGAAAATCACAAAGAACAAGACCAGGGTACGATTCCATGTTGAAAGCGTTGGGCAGCTGCACGCGGTGGAAATATTTAGAACAGCCTTGACGCTATTTGCGGAACGAGTGCGGTATTTAGCGCGGCTCATTCAGGATACTGAGGTAGTCGGTGCGGTTCCCGAGTAAAAGGGTTCTTTGTGAAAGTGGTATAAGCTCCAGTTGTAAGCCGTTATCTTTTTCACCCTTTCTGGATATCTGTTTGGGTTAGCCGCGATGGTAGGACTATTTAACCTTTTAGAGCCCTATTATATCGCGACTACCTACCAACTACTCACAACCTAGGAGGTGAGGATAATGCGTGATGATATATATCGATATCGATATATATTTAACAACCAAAATCGTATAATACATAAGGATAAAAGTCTCACTTTTGGTTCGATAGACCTCTTTAACAATGGGAGACGCTTATAAAAAAAAAAATTGACTCAGATCCACAGAAAGCTGAGGAGGACTTCCATGGGAATGTCGCACTATGGGTCTATTAATAAAACATCTTACGAATTTGACGCTTTGTTGATTATGAGATATGTATTCTTTTCTTTCTGTTGTCTTATTTGTCATCATTTGTATGTAATACGTATTTTGAACGAGATTATTTCAAAGGGAAACACAACGTCCCTCATTTTCTGTAAAGGGGCTTAAAGGAGTTTAGTTAGTGCAATAATAAAAAAAGGACGTTGTTTCCCGCACCAAATCGATGACAAAGGGAAAGGGACGAAATCCTGGTGTATCCGGTTTGAATAAGCACATCAAGCGGAAAGTGCACCAGGAACGCTCGCAGCCTGCAGCTCGACAACATCTAGGCGAACTAGAAAAACACAAAGACCATGCATTACGTGGAAAGAAGCGTAAGGCGAGAGTAAAACGTCTTCTGGAGCTGAAGCGTGCCGCCGCCCAGCGTAATCCGGATGAATTTCAAATAGGTATGACCAAGGCCATCATGGATGTCGCCACTGGAGGGATTAAAAAAAGAACGCAGCGCATGAAACCAGAGGAGCGTGCGTCCGAGCTGAAGAAAACGATCGGTCACAACACCCGCAACGTGCAGTACCTGGAATTTAAGGCGAAGAGCGATCAAACCCGTTTAAAGGATCTTCTCGAGGAGGATGCGGCGGGTTCGATCATTGGCAGTACGCCCCAAAATAAACACATCGTTTTTGTGGAGGAAGAGGAGGAGTTCAAGCACTTCAACCCGCAGGCCTATTTTGACACCACAAAGGCGATGCTACAACGGCACCCTGCCATCCGAGGGCATTTATCTCTATTGCAAAACATGGTCTTACCGGAGTCTATGCTGCTAGGGGGGGGGCCAGGTGATGAAGTCGGTGAACCAGCGCCGTAAGGAGCGTCGGGAGATTCAACAAAAGCTCAGCGCCGTCGGCGACGATGCGGAGGCGCGGGTTGCCGCACTGGAGAAGATCCGAGCGAAGAAGGACGTGAAGGAGTACTATCGCTTTGACGACCTTCTCGCCGAGGACCTCGCTCGTCGGGGCGATGGTGGGAGCGGCCAGCCAGGGGCAAGTGCCGAAGATGACGAAGACGACGCCACGAGGGTGCTCAAATGGCGACGCGAACAGGAGAAAACCGACGCGATCGATGCCGCCCGGCGTGCTAAGGAAGTGGAACAGCGTTTTGAGCGTAGCAAGAGCCTCAGTGCCTTGGCGAAGGTAATTCGTCGACAGAATGATGGAATTAGGAAGCAACTAACCCAAAAGAAGGATAGTCGGTTTAAACCTACCGCATCACGCCGCGCGCGGTAGACTTGGAGTCGACAGTTCACACGGGCTTTGACAACGAACTTGCTTTTGTGATTGAAATGTGGCTATTTTTGGTGTTTCTACACCGTACTCCCTTAAACTTTTACAGTTTACGACTTAAACGAGACGATATTCTAATTAATATGCATTTATAACAACACACACGCGCATATATATATAAATATATATATATGGCACATTATGATACCATATTTGTTTTTCTGCCCTTTTTCCGGGAGGGACTAATGGACTTAATCGATTTGCACACCAATTTTTTTTTTCAATTTGAATAAACCTTTTTTTGTTGGTTTATTTTAACTTTATCATATATTACATATATATATATATACATTAGTTGCTTCTAGAAAGGCAACCTATAAGCAAATTCATTCAAAATTTCACTAGAACCAATTTCATAATTTTTATATTGATAAAGTCTTCTTAGATTCTATTTAACTCACAGTTAAAAATAAACCGAAAGAATTTTAGACCCAATAATTTGCTTGACACATAGCAGAGAGCCACCTTCCTTTATCGAAGATACAAGGAGGCATATTAATTAACAAGGCAACAACAAAGAAACAAGGTGCTTAAGCAGTATTTTTTTTAAAACTGTAAAATAACTAAGTAGAGTAAAATATCACAATTACTAGAAGTTTAACTGTCAAAGCTCCCTACATCTGCCTGGACACTATCAAACAGGAACGGAAGAGCTCCATTCCACTTTTTTTATTTTTTCAATTCTCTGACATCGGATCGGCATATGCAGCGCACGGATTCATTGACCCTTTCCCTGCAAGACTCACCAACCGGTGCTGACTTCACCAATGCCCACACGAGCATCAACAGTTCTCCTTCATTTCACCGTGGCTCAGATTATTCCCTGTCGCTCCAGACCCAGGGGAATGCGATGAAGGTGTATGTTCGTGTGCGGCCCTATAGCGAGCGTGAGATCGCCCAGCAGGATATGTCTCACCACAGCACCGTCCGTATCGATTCAAATGATCCCTGCATGATCACGGTGCTCGATCCCAGCCGCGACTTTCGCACCGCGGCGACGTACAGCTTTACGCGATGTTTCTGGTCTGTTTTTGAGCGCGGCGACGTGACGAACGACCGCGATCTGTGCGATACTGTCGATGCGTATTTGAACTGCAGCCCGGGCATCCCCCGACGGCTCAACCGATCGGGCTCCCTTTTAGGGCGCGAAAGCCTTGCCTCCTCACCCAGCTCCCGCAGTGGGGAACTGCAGGAAAGGTCGTTTAACGACCTCAACGCATTAGTCTATGGCAGCTCAGGATCGAACAGCGTCGTGGTGGATGTCAGCATCGGCCACCCGCCCTATGCCAGCCAAACTGAGGTTTATCACCATGTGGGCCGCCCGATCCTCGAGAACGCCCTGGATGGCTATAACGGATGTGTCTTTGTGTACGGCCAGACCGGTAGTGGAAAGACCTTCACCATGCTCGGCTACGCGTCGCACCCGAACGTCCCCGCGAAGTCGCGGGACCCCACTGGCAAACCCGCTGATCTGAGCAACCGAAGTGAAAGGGATCCTACGGGACCTTCTTTTGGTCCCGTTAGCCTTCTCAGCCCCCTGCCCGTCAACTTCAACAAGCCCCCCTTAAAAGCCCCCGAGGGCCGGGCCCTGAGGTCGAAGCCCGGGGTCGACCCGAGGGAGCTGCGGGGCATTATCCCCCGGGCCTGTGACGAGCTCTTTGAGATCCTGCGCCGGACGCGGGAGAAGGACCCTTCCTGCTCCTACCGCGTGGAGGTCTCCTACTTTGAGATCTACCAGGACAAGTTTTACGACCTCATCCGCCCTCAGCGGAGCCTCGAGCTGAAGGTCCGGCACAACCCGACCTCCGGGCCTTACGTGGACGGGCTTTGCTACAAACTCGTCCTCCACGAGGAGGAGGCGGCAGGGGTGGTGTGGAAAGGAATCCACGAACGCCATACCGCCATGACGAAATTCAACGACCACAGCAGCCGCGGCCATGCGATCTTGAGCTTTAACATCGTCCAGCTCTTCCTCGACGGCAGCGGGACCCCGCGCAAGACGCAGGGCAAGCTAAACCTGGTGGATCTGGCGGGCTCGGAGCGCGCCGGGCAGGCCGGGGTGGATCGCCCCGAGTATGAGGAAGGCGTCAAAATTAACCAGTCCCTGACGGTGCTGGGACGTGTGATCGATTGCTTGGCAGATCTCTCGCAGAACAAGGCCCTCTCGGTGCCGGTACCCTACCGCGACTCCAAACTCACCTTAGTATTGATGGACTCGATTGGTGGTAATAGCCAAACCTCGATGGTGGCCACGATCTCGCCACACATGATTAACTACGAGGAGATGAAGCAAACCCTTCGCTACGCCTCACGAGCAAGGCAGATTGTCAACCGTGCCGTTCGGAACGAGGACCCGCAGGTCGTCCTGATCCGCGAGCTCCGCAGTGAGGTGGAGCGAATGCAACGAATGTTAGGGGAGGCTGGTGCCTGCGGCTACACGCGTGAATACGTTCTTGACCTCGAACAGCAGGTGGCAAAGCTCACGAAGAAGAACTCAAGTCAGGCGCTGATGCTAGCGACGCTGCGTGCGGAGCTTGAGCGTAAGGATTTTGTGGATCCGACGTCTGCGGAGAGCGGTGCGGCACTTGTGCCCTCTGGCCCCGCAACCCTAACCATGGAGCAAACAGGGGAGGTAGTACTACAGGAGTTTAACAACACACAAAAAGAGTTTGCTACCAGGAAGGCGAATAACAAGCGAGAAGCTAAAGCGAGTGATGCGAACCTTACCACATATAGGAGGCAAAACACGGAACGAGCAAGAAAAACTCTCCGTTTGCAGACAGCTGAGGCAATGTATGCTAACACGACTCTCACACTGTTCAAGCACACGATGGGCAACTTGAATATCGTTCTGAACTACACCAAAAAGAAGGAAGCAATTATTCTTAACTCCTGCCGGAATATGCTGCTTCGAGCGTATTCAGAGGTGCATGGAACTAAAAACCAATTGAAGTCTGCGCATGAGCATCAAATGACCATTTGTAAGGAAAATTTTAAAATGATGCTGGATACCCAGGCTCAACAACATCAAAAGAAGCTACGCGAGACCGTTGAGGAGGGAGCGCAACAGCAACAACAGCTGATGGATAAGCACAAGAAGGCCATCACGCAGATGGAGGAGCACATCCAACGCAACCGCGCGATTTACGAAGACAGCCGCAAGGGTATGGAAAACGAGAGGGAAGAGGTGCACCGACAGAGCAACGCACAACTTACCAAGGAGCGAGAACAGCATCAGCAGGAGATCAAGCACCTCCGGGCGAGCTTTGGCGACGCCATGAGGAATTCTCAGCCGCCTACCAGGGAATTACAGCAAGCGCGCGAGGTAGGGAAGCTGAGGGAGGAGATCGAGTGCCGCAAGCGCACAAAGGAGGTGGATGCCGAGCGTGTAAAGCACCAGCTTGAGAATCAGCAATTGCGCCACCAGTCGGAGCTTATACAGAAGGATCGTCAGCGCCATAAGCTCGAGCTCGAGATGACCGATCTACGTCGGCAATTTACATCACTCGAGGTAGAAAAAGCAAAGAAGCAGCTTGAGTATGAGGAACATCTGGCTGTCGTGTTGAAGCGGCAGGACGACATCATCAACAGCAGCAATGCGGTCCTTAAGGATTGGGAAGACAAATCAGCTAGTATGGGGGAGGATTTATGTCGACTCCAGAAGCTTGTCAATGATCAGGATTACATGAACCTTCGGCAGCGGATGCGTGATTCGGTTTTTCGGCAACGCATGAATTACGACAAGGCTCTGCAGGACGTGGAGGAGAAGCAGAGGCGCGATAAGCAGAAATTATTTGAAATCATGGGGAAAGCAAAAAAGGTGCAGGAAGAGCACAATGAAAGTCTCCAACGCTATCAGGAGGAAATACAACAGTTGCTTCAAAAAAGCATCGATGAATAATTGCAGCATTACGCATCACCGCTTTTGTCATTTTAGACGTAGATAGAACCCTGTGTATTAGTGTGAATACACGGATGCTAAGGGTATATTTATGTATATGTATATCTATATATAGATATACATATACATAAGTGGTTTTCATTTTTAGATAATTTTCCAACATTTGTCATCTTGACTTTTTTTTTTTTGAGACTACCACTCATGATCTTCCGCTTCCCCACTCCCTCCCCCTTTCCTAAAAAATAAGGGGAGATAACCTCCTTGTTAAAAAATTTGACAAAGAAGCAGGACGGATTTTTTTTTAATCTAGACTGACTTTGAGAAGCAGTTTTTTATATGATCTATTTTTAGTGAAAGAAACGAGAATAAGCTAACGATTGGCAAGACAGGGATGTTTAGTCTGAAAAGCGATGCAATAGGCTTCTCAAAAGCCCCGTTATTGTTGTTCACAGTGACATTGGAACATATATGTCGGTATATGTGTAGAGGAGAGGGGCGTGACTTTGGTATCATTCAAAGTCGCCGGCATGTAATTGGATTGCACAGGAATTATTTTCTTTCGTATCCTTTTTTATGCTAAAGGGGACAGGGCGTGAGTATGGATCGCACTGAGGATCGTTGCGTGAATGACTCGAAGCCGGTAACAGGATAGAATGTTTTTTACAAAGTTTCCGGAGGATTGTACCCATAAACAGTGAACAGCGGTTTTTTTCAGATGTAAAAAAGAGCATTCAATTTGCAATGCATATTTGAAAGGGATCTGTGTCGTTGGTTAAATAGGAAATACAACAACAAATTATTACACCTCTGCATGACCAGCATGGTTTTTGATAGGTACAAACTCACATACTGATTACCCTTCCTAATTTCTATTGTTTGACTTATCCACGCTGGTATTTGTTTCGTTGCAACATGTTATATATACTTATCAATCATTCTAGGGTAAATTTAAAAGCTGAACTCACTAAATTCAGCTGTATGTGCCATGTCTAAATTCACAAATCTGAACATTTCTTACGTTCACTTTATTCCTGGATTTGCCTTCATTACTAGTAATAGACCTTATCTATCTAGCTATTTAAGAAGGCTTTCATAGTGGAACTTTTGCTTTTATAGGCAAGGGTATAACAATCTGGCCGAATATATTTCCTTTTATCTTGCAGTTTGCTTATTTCTTTCGTCTTGCTGTTTATCCCCTTCCCTAGTCGAAGCGACACAGCAACAAGATTTCATACATTAAGCAAAAGTAAAGGAAAGGAAAGTTAATTTTGCTTAATTATTTTTTACCCACTGCTATTTTTCTAAGCTGATACTTTTTCCATTAGTTTAATCACGTAGTTCAGTATATTTTTTCACGGCGTAGATTATTTCCCATTCCTTAAATAGGGAAGATTGTACACAGCTGCAGAAACTCGTGGATTGCTTTTGCCAGCTCATTTCATTATATATATATTTATATATATATCTATATATATTCTTTTTTTTTTAGATTTCTCTTTAAAACCCAATAGGAAAAAAACCCCTCTTTCTGTTACAATAGTCCTTCCAAGACCAATTTTACGTTCGTTGCGAAGGTCCAATTGGTAGCGTGCGGATGTCGCTGACAGTAAATTCAGGCTCACGTTCTTCGGGGCTTCACGCCACGATTTCAAAAGTCCTGTCCTTCACGACTTCCACGGGAAAAGGGAATCGGCGGTCGATTCTCGGCTTATCACCCGTGGCCTCTTTGAGCACGGACGACACTTCCACCCTCACCATCGATTCCCATCCGCTGGAGATGCGGAGGGAGGACGGGAGAGGTGGGCCCGAGGCCTGCTCGACGAAAGTCTTTGTCCGGGTTCGCCCTTTCACCCAACGCGAGCTCGCGCGGTCCCCCGGGGACGGGGAGGGGACTTCTACCCAATCCGAGCCTCCGGCGGGGTTGAGAAGCGTAGTTCGGGTGGAGGTTGGGTGCCCTTCACAGATCACGACGCTCGACCCCGCGCGG